AGGCTCATGAGTAACATTTTCTTTTCCAGAAAAGAATGCAAACTAATACGAGGAAAAACATATATGCATAAGAAGGATTACATTTTTATATAGGATGGTTGTGTAAATGAATAAATGATCACAAAAGCAAGGCCTGTAGAAATGAGCTAGGATCCTCTGTTTTTCCTCTGTACTGGTTCGGTGCCCTCCCATTTAGGGACAAACATCTGTTCTCCTACAGATTCCTCCATTTTCAACTCCAAACCTAGTGCGAAAGCTTCTTTCAAGTGTTTTTGCATAAGAGAAGGAAGATGCAGATAACTTCTTTGAGGTGGGGCTTGGGGTGTTTCTTTCTCCTAATTTCAGATGTATTGCTTCCATGCATTATTTCTTCTTTCTTCTCCTTTTTTGGCAACTTATCCACGTCACTTTTCATTTTTATTTAATGGGTCTTTCTGTTAAAATCAGTAAAGATCAAAAGTTCAGGATTTTTTTTTTTTTAATTTTTCCTATTTCCGGAATTGATTTAGGAAGTTGGTAGAAAAAGGAAGCATATATATGTGTTCTGAAGGTGACCTCAAATTTTAAAGGGGCACATCCTAGGGAATAGACTACAAGTTATGCTTTTGAAAAGATGTATTTTAATAGGGGTACTTTTTATATTTTCACAAGGGATGTGCCCTGTTTATCAAAATTAGGTACTGCCCAAATCAGCTCTCTTTCTTCTTTTCTTTCCCCTGTTTTTCTTGACTCTCTCTTTGATGGATTCCTAACCTGTGCGTTTGATATTTTTGACCTCACTAAGTGACTTGATTAAAAGTCTTGGGAATAACTTCAACTATACAGTTTTATTTTCATTAATTCTCAAAGAATGAAGAAGAAGAAAAACATGTGACTGTTCTCTAATGGATCTATTTTTTTTTTCTCTTCACTATCTATCAACTTATAGACAAATTATGTAAATGGCTATTTGTTAATCCAACTATAACATGTAAATTGTAAACTGAAGGACAAGTTGCTATGCTGTTCATGAATATTCCATGGGACAGTTGAGAGTATGTACCTTCAAGTTTTGAAGGTTTGTCTGTAATTGCTCAAGTGACACATCAGCCTGTTTTTGAATCCCAGACAAAAGTGAACCAAAATTCTGAGCATGTTGATTCAAGTGCTATGTAGCATCAGCCCTTTTCTTTCTAATGGGTGCTGGCAACTTCTCTACTTCTAATACAAACCGTGGAGCTCTGGCAACTCATGTGCTATTAAGATACACAGAAAAGTCAAGGTATGATCTTGTGACTTTCTTCCTATGTGTAACAAGTTGTCAAAACGAACTGGATGCATGTATCAATGCTAGACTTTGTGTCTCTGAATTAGTTGGTTTTACTTACGATGCCCCATTCCAAGGTTCAAAATATTGGTATCATGTATTGTATTGGTAAGCTTGGAAATAAACTTGTATTGCGATATGCTCTGGATATGGTGGAAAGATATGTATATGCTTGGATATATTAGTTTGAATATCGTGTGTATTTCACAAATACATAATAATGCTAAATCTAAGGTTGAAATAACTATGAATAAGGTATAAACACATAAGAAATGTATATTTTATTAGTTTATATGAAAAAATACATTACAATAAACAATCATACAATAACTTTGTTAATAATACATTAGTAATTATATTATATAATTAATATAAAGATATACTAGATCAATACAAAGGTTCAAGATCCATAAATCAAGGAGTCCAAGGCACAAATCCAAAAGCAACTATTATATTTTAGTTATTTGATCATTTTTTCTATATTTTATACTTTTCAATTTTGTAAACTACCAAAAAAATATAAGTTAATGGGTTTAACTCCTTAAAAGTTATTAATATCAAGTCAATCTCGTAAGTAATACTTTTTAATTATATAAGTAATCAATATGTTCTTGCTTGACTGTTTGTTGTAAATTAAATTATTAGCTAATGATTTACAGAAATGTTATATATTAATTTAAAAAGCATCGGATCCATTTGAATTTCTAAGATACATATCTTGTCATATTCAATAAAAGAATTTAATAACTAAAATAGTTATTCATTGTTTAGTATTTTTATTTCTCGAAATTACCACAAATAAAAAATCATTTTTTGACATAAGTTGTTAATGGATTAATGGATTTGATTGATCATTCATAAATCTATCTTCTAGTTCTTTCATCACTTATATCCATGGATCTAATGCAAGTAAAAACATCCCAGGTCCAACAACAATGCAGTGGGATCTTGCATTGTTGACCCAGTGGTTACTGAGCTCTTGAATAAATAGTCTAATAGAATTAAGTTTGCTTAGTTCATTAATCATACAACAATGCAGTGGATCCCTGAAGTTTTATATCAACACTTTGATGGCAGAACTGTGGCATCGATTCAGATTATCCAGCAAACTTTGCTGGTAACATTGTCAGTGACAGATTATTGGGGATGTGCACTGCTCATTGCCAAATTTACCACCCCACCCAGACTCAAGATTGTAACTCGTGAACAACCAGGATGTTCTGGAGTCATCTCCCACATTATGATTTTCTTGTGGAAATGTCTTAAAAAAATTCTTCTTGCAACATCTGAGCAGCATTGGCACCACTAGCCCGTAGATGTTTACTGTGAAATTTGTAAGAACTGCTGGAGATCCTTCATTTATTATTTTACTGTGTAATCCTGTTGTGGAATCACGACTTGCTTCTATGTAATCTTGTTGCCTCTCCTGGATCAAACTCTTGATGGCTTTTGTTTCCCTATTATAACATATTAAGAAGCCATTATTAATTTAATATTATGGCAGATGGGTTAGAATATGATCACTAAATATTATAAACGACGTAAATACATGAAGCAGTAATCGATTACATGCGCAATTAAAATATTAACAAAGGGATTAACATACTCTTCCGGTTTGTCCGCACCAAGAATTTGCTTTGTTATTGTGTATACATGTAGGTTTCGCTTTGGATTGGGTTGGGGTTGAGGTACTGGGGGCAAAATCAAGCCCAACCGGCCCCTAGAGTCAAGACTAAATTTCTAGATTAAGAGAAAACTCGACTACTGAATATTCAAGCCACAACTAATGCAAAAGCTTGGGCTGGGCTCACCTGATCTTAACCCATAAGTGATAAGTCACAGTTGACTTGTTCTCAAATTAAATCGAATTGGGTGGTGAAGTCTTTGGCCGGCCGGAGAAACAAAATTCTTTTCCACTTTTCCAAATTGTTGCATGTGGTACGATCGAATTCCTCATTGTATCACCAAATTGCACCAAATGACAGTTGTACAATTTTCATCTGATCTCTGTTTCTCTGATTGTGCAAAAACCAAGAAAAAGATTTCTCTTCCTGTTTTCGACGGTCGGTCTGGACATTCATCGTTAATTTGCATTGGAAATTGAATATGTAGTAAATTATTAAATTAGATATATGTAAATGAACACATAAATGAAAGGATTATAGTCATGATCAATTCATGATTTGCATTCCTAATAATAAACCACAATTTAGAAATAAATATTCAAGGGATAGAACAAAAGGATGGCCGCTAAATGTAGATTGGAGATTCCATTAATCAATCTACCCGAATATTCAAGGGATAGAACATCTACCCGCTAAATGTAGATTAGAAATAAATATTCAAGGGATAGAACAAAAGGGAATGTGAGTAATGAAGGTGCGAAGTCATCTTATCAGAAGGAGACCATCTACCAGAAGAGAGAGAAACACCATTCCCAAATATTAGCTACAAAGAGGCAGGGGATTATTGAGTGGTTTAGAATATTCTAATTATTACTTAATCCACTATTCTAACAACCTTATTGGCATTATCATTTTTGCAGATGGATCCAGTACTTGTAGCAACAAGTATAAGGGAGGCAGCTGCAGGTGCAGAGGATGATGCATTGGTAAAGCTGATGGGTGCTACATGCAGACGTGCCACAGATCCCCCAGCACCGTGCCACAAAAACTGACAACAGCCTTGAGGAAGCCTCAGCTTATAGGAAGCTTTTTTATCAAAAAAAAAAAGAATAGCTTATATGAAGCTTTTGCCATCTAATATATAGTTAGTTGGCAGGTATAATGTATGGCATATTCAACATATAATATATAGTTGACAGGTACAATTTTTTAATAATTATACAGCTCTTGGAAGGGTAATGATCTCGTGGGAAAGGTCACGCCTGAGTAAACCGTGTGAATCCAGCCTACTTGTTGAACAGCCATTTTTACCTGAAAGTCTGGAAAATTAATACATTTTGAAGTGCTCGATTTTCTACTAAGAAACCATGAACACGGTAAGATCCCACTATATGTGGGGGAAAGGTCGACCATGGGTTGCTTTACCGAATTGTCTTCTCTGCTCACACTAACCATGGAAGGTCGAGCAATCCGAAATGTGTCCCGCTTTGTATTAACATTTATCATTTGATTATTCCGAGATGCCAGCCATTATTCATAAAATTTGAGTGATTTCTTTATGCATCTGGGTGATATTGATTGTCAGAAGACTTGGTCCAGTTGCCCATTACGCGCACTCTCAAGGATATTAATTAATAACTTCTTTTTCAAATATATATATATATATATATATATTTTTTTTTTTGACAGTTGAAATTAAAAAAATAAATAAATAAAGCATTTGGGCAGAGTGATGGTAAGGCTTACTCTCTCAGATTCTGTTGATGGACCCCTTGCCTAGTGTTGGTAAGGCTTACTCTCTCATTCTTCAAGATGAAAACCACAAGCTTATTCCTGACCAATCTAGTGCGACTGATGCCGCTGCTCTCCGAGGATCTTTCTTCTACTACCTCTGCAGAGTGACATCCAAACAACAAACCTCGCTCTAAGGATCGTTGTACATACTACAACATTATTGGTCATAAAAGGGATTTCTGCTATAAATTACACGGTTACCCTCCAAACAACAAGGGCAGTCGTTGTTCTAATTGTTCGCGACCCAAGCAATCTGCGCCAGAATCCAACGACAGTAATCAACCATCCACACCTCAGTTAACAATGGAGCAGTACAACCAGCTTCTCAAATTGCTTAAAGACACGAAGCCCCTTTCTCCTGCTGCCAATTTCGTAGGTAACCATTTGAGTCTTTTGTCATTTGGGCCACATGCATCTTGAGTCATTGACATTGGGGCTACGGACCACATGGTCTCAAACCCCACCCTCATTCATAGCGCTCATCCACCTACTACATCTTCTTGCATCACTTTACTTGATGGGACCTCCACTCCCATCTCCCTCATTGGGACCACACCCCTAAATAATCACATAACTCTCACCAATGTTTTTCATCTTCCTTTTTTTAAGTTTAATTTGCTCTTTGTGAGCAAAATTATTAACGCCTTGCAATGTTTTGTCACATTTTATCTTGATCATTGTGTCTTCTAAGACCTTGATACTAGTCCAAACATCATCTAAGACAACTACGTACCTCTTCGACTGTAAGTAATCGTGCAGTAATTTCATCATCTTGTCCTTTTCCATTGTATCGAGTCCTTGAGGAGGTAACTCTTTTCTTTCTGTGTACAATTGCTCTATCATTCGTTTCATGATCTTCTCAATACTAAAGACTTTGATACGGTGATCCAAGCATGGCAATCAAAATGCTCTTCCACCTTGTTAAAAACCATTTCGACAAGGGTTGTTTTGCCTATTCCTCCCATGCCAACCACAGAGATCACTGTGAGTTTTGATTCTCCTTTTTCTAGCCAGCCAATCAGTTGTTCACTGGGCCTATCGATGCTTACTAGTTGAGTTTCTTCGTTGAATCGAGAAGACATTCGCCTACTAAACCCAGCATCGTTGGAGTTTTCTCCTCCTCTTGGGGTGTTAAAACTATATCTATCGCATCTCTCTCTTATTTCACGGACCCTTTTATTAAGTTCTTTTAACTGAGTGCCTATTTGATGTCGGCGTTTAATCTCCTTGGCACGTTGAACTGTTTTCTGCAGAGAATGAATGAAACCACGGCCATGGAATCGTTTGATTCGAAGAACAAACTCGTCAAGAACATCTTCGATGTCGTAAGATACATCCCATACTTGTTTCACCCAGGTTTTTATTACTTCATCGGTCTCTCCCCTTTTATCAGCTTCATTTAGAAAGGCATTTATGAATTCCAGCTCAGACCGCAATCCTTCGACTTCTTTCCCTACTTTAGTCAGCAGTCCTGCTTCGTTCGCAAACTTCTTGAGAAGATAACTAATGACAGCACCCTGCGACATCACTCGGCCCTTTTTCCATACAACTCCTCCTCCTCCTCTTCTTCTTGTTCTTCTTCTTCTTCTTCTTTCTGTTTCTCTCTTAAACGCTATCTCTATCATTTTTTTCTTGCTATTTTTTTATGATTTAGTTGACTAAGGCACATGCCCTGTCTGTATGTGATAACTGATAAGGGAGGCGAGATTCTTTGGACCCCTGGTTCACGGGGCGCGTGAACCCTCCAATAGGAGGCGTGCACGTCGCCCCTTCGAGTCATGCGCGAAACCTCCATCGCCATTAGCTTAAGTAACCGTTAATCGATTGAACCGGGCGGAAACCGGGCGGCACGAGAACACAGAAACCGGCGACATCCTCACCGAATCATTCGACCATATCCGGCGGTAACCAGGTGAATCATTCAACCATATCCAGCCGCAAGCAGTAAGACCCTCCGGTAAGTGGCTTCTCCTCCGACGGACTTGGAACCCTGTTTTGAAATGTAATTTTCAAAATAGCGGTAAATGTGATTTTCTTCTTCTCAAATGTAATTTTCTTCTCCTTCTCCAACTATTTCATGTTGTTTTGCTTGTTAGGATGCCGCCGGTGACCTGTAGAGAAGAAGAAAATCACATTTAAGATTCAAAACAAGGTTCCAAGTCCACTGGAAAAGGGGAAGCCACTTACCGGAGGGTCTTACCGCTTGCCGCTGATTGCCGCTGGATATGGTTGAATGATTCACCCGGTTACCACCGGATATGGTTGAATGATTCACCGCAGGTCGGTGAATCAGTGAGGATGTCACCGGTTTCTGTGTTCCTGAACTATGGCTCGAGTGACTCGAAAATGGGGGGAGGGGAACAGAGGGAGATGAAATGAAGGGATGGAGAGCTCTCGAGTCTCGAGTCTCGATTGATTTTGTTTTCGTCACGCCCGGTTCAACAACGGTTATTTAAAGCTAACAACGATTGAGGTTTCGTGCACGACTCGAAGAGGCTACGTGCACGCCTCCAATTGGAGGGTTCACGCACCCCGTGAAGCCAGGGGTTCACTGAATCTCGCCTCGATAGGGAGGAAACCGCCCACATACGCTAATAGACAATTTCCAGCTCAGTTTGTGGGTCCATATGACAAATTAACAATTCATTATTCATTTACATCGCCGGTTCAAAATATAAAATGTTGTCCTTTCACACCAACGCGGTACTTTATTAAGAATGATCCGCTCGTACTCTGTTATTTCAGTTTTTTGTTACTTTTTCTTGATGTTTTTCGATCCGAGCTGTTTCGAATCAAGATCGCACTGAGATTGTTACCAACTCGTAAAATTGACGTGAAAAGATGAATTCATGCAATAAGATTCTGAAAATAGGCTCTAACAAGTTGTTCTCGAGTAGGTATTTCGACGTCGAGCCCGGTAGTTAAGAATAATGTTGATCTGAGCTGAAGAGGTAAAATTGCAATATCAAGAGTCAAAAGTCCCTTACCTTGAGCGGAGGTTAATTATTTATAGCTAAAGATCTGTGTTCAATTCAAATGATGCTTCCGGGGTTGTCAGGATGAGATTACCCACCAAGGTTTTCGAGATAAGTTTTCCTCCAGCGGAGTTTCCTTCCTTATCCATACGGGGCTCTTCTTCTTAGTCGTGCATATCCATCATATGTGGTGTTGATGTGGCTGGGGAGATAAGACAGCCATGAAGGATGCCACATGGCACCCAGGGCTAGCTCAACCATAACCCAAACATCACTCCCCCATTTCCGAAGTCAAGGAATATAGTGCTCGGCTACGATATGGCGTAGAAGAGCTCTGCAATTTTCAGATGAGGAACTTGAACTTTAGTTGAGCATACTTTTAGAGTTGAGTGACCTAGAGTGAAGTCGGTTAGTTGGGTGAACCAATTGGTTTGACGCCCATGCAGTTTCTGAAACAGGTCGACGGGTGCATCATTCCATTTCCCTGAGGCTACACGCATGTGGAGAGTGGAGGCGTTGTTTCATCTTCCTGAGCTATCAAAGAGCAGCATTGAATCAATGCCATTGATCTGCCTTGATATGGGCCGTTAGGAGTCCTATAAAAAGTGGGTGAAGAACAATTTCACATTGTCATTTGTGAAGAGTGTTCTTTTGAGCTCAGGGAGAAGTAGTCCTCAACTGGTGCTTCAGTTTTCCGCAATCTTAGGTGGCGTTTGATAAATCTAAAAAGTTAAAAATATATTAAGTGTTTGAAATCTGAAAAGAGACATAGATGCTTTTCTACATTTTAGAGGATCTGGATCCATAAGTTTGTTTGTGTTGGATCAACCCTTTACCATCTAAAATTTACTGATTTTACTATTTTACCCCTAGAACATACTATTTGGAAATGTTGAGTTCAATTTGCATGATCTTATAAAAAATAATTTTCAACCTCAAAATAATATTGAAACAAATAAATTAATAATTACTAATTAATAAATAAAACAATTAAAATTAAAAAATAATTAATGAATATAAAAATAATTAATAATTTACATAAATAAAAATTAAAATGTTTTTTAAAAATTAATGAAATAATTAAAATTTACTAGTTAATAAAAATAATTAAAATTAATAAATAACACAAGTAAAAATAGTAAAAATGAATTAATGTTTAATAAAAAATACTAAAATAATTAATTATTAATTATTAATAATTTATAATTTATAATTAACAATAAACTATTATTACTCACCAAATTGCCGTTGCAACAAGGCGAAGAGAGAGAGAGAGAACCACTACTGCAACTTGCAGCGGTGATGGCGTGAAGACAAGGGGGAGAGAGAGAGAGAGAGAGAGAGAGAGAAAGAGAGAGAGTCGTTGCAAGTTGCAGCGGTGGCGGCAGAAGACAGGGCGGAAAAAGATAGATAGATAGATAGAGAGAGAGAGAGAGAGAGAGAGAGAGAGAGAGAGATGTATGAAGATGAGAAAGAGAGGTCGAATGGGAGGGGTATTTTTGACTTTCGATCACGTCTAAAATGCATCTGAGTGCATTAAGTGACAGACCTGAGTCTAAAAAATTCAAATCTAAAAAAAACTTTTTAGACCTTATTTCAAATGCAACACCAAACAAAGGTGGCGTTTGAAAGCAACATTTTCAGATTCAGACGTTTGAAAAGTGCAATCAAACACCACCTTAGTCTTCACTTTGATAAGATATCTTCTTCCCCATCCTCTAATTCTTCTTGTTCACTTCTTCTTTTGGTTCTAGTAGCGAGTTCGAGCAGGGGTCCCTTGTCAAGGCTACCGCGCTCATGGCCCGTGAGACCGAGGGGGCTGAGGTTGATGGATTTGAGGGTGAGGTTGTGGAGCTGGGAGAGACCATGGTTTGGGGGGTTGAGGTCGAGGTAGTGTCTGATGAGGGGCCCAACATCCCTCCACAGATCGGTAGCCACTTTGGGTCTACTCCGTGTTGTCTGACTCCCGAGGATCTAGCTCAAATCAGGGCCTTGTACTGCATTAGTATGAGATGAGGTGCTCAAGTGTTGGTGAGCAAGCCATCTCGACTCGACCTAGCGAGCTCTATGTCTATGAGCACACCCTGATGGTCGGGCTGAGGTTTCCACAAAGTGAGGGTATAGCCATGGTATTAAGGTGGTACCGCGTCTAGCCGATCCAATTGATGCCCAACTCATTTAGGTACTTAGTCAGCCTTCTTTGGTACTACTCAGTCCACAACTTAGAAGTTATCCTACTAATGTTTGTCCTTTTCCTGCAACTGAAGAAGCACCAGCAGGGCTACTACTATTTCTCAACTCGGTAGCATAAAAAGGTGCTTGTCGGGGTTCCGTCTTCGGTAAAGCACTGGAAGGAGAGATCTTTCTTTGTGCATTGCCCTGGAGGTGAGCCATTTCCTTTCGAACTTCTTAAGTCAAGGACCAAGGTGAAGGCACTAACTAAGGCTAAGCTTTCCGAGGAGGAGTTGACATCCATAAGGCGGATACCAGTCCAGTCCATAGGCTGATGAACACATCATTCTTGATGTGGATTCATGCTAGGCTGATGAACAGTACGACTGAGCAATACCAGTCCGGTCCGTAGGTTATGAGGTTTTTTCCTTGGTGCTAATTTCAGGCTAGCTTGTGTAAGTGCTAAAATGGCCAATTTTGAGGAAATGGCTCGACGCATGAGGGCCGCAGTGGAGAGGATGCGGTCAGGCAGGTTATGAGTCCTCCCATAAATGCCACTCCTAGTGCCTTTTTGTCATCACCCATGTACTCTTAATGCTAGCTATTCAAACTCCAATTAGTAATTGTAGACGCTTCCTACCTATTCTATCTTTGCAAGGTTCTCATCAATATTTTCATAGCTAGAAACCTCAAATTGGACACACAGTGCATCAATGAAGTCTAGCTGAGAGACGGGGGTGCCCTTGTCAATTCCAATGATACCAGAGATCACATTTCCTTCCAAATGTATTGCTACTAGTACCACTCTATTCGGACAGAGGTTTCATTATACTCAAAGTATCTTTCCGCCCTATATATTCAAGGGATTGGGTCTCCCCAAGATCAAAAAGATTAACTTGGTAGTCCTTTCCAATGTCGAACTACCCCTTCAACTACTTCCTTGGCTTCCTCTTTATTACGATCGATTTCTCTATGTTTGACTGATGGGATCTTTTCTTATCTACACAAGATCGCAGTCATGGTGTCCTCAATTTCTTGCACATCACCAAATACTTGGTGAAGCTCAACCTCCACCTGACCAACGTACGCCACCATTAACGTAGCTTTGGTGTTGGGTGGGGGTGTCAATTGGACTAGATTTGGTCCAATCTGATCCAGTTCAATGTGAGTCCATTAAAAATGGACCAGGTCCAATCTAATCCAGTAAATGTTTTGGACCAATTTGGACGGTCCAGTTCAATGTCTGGATCATCCAATCTGTTCAAATTCATTTTGATTTAGATTGGTTTCAACCCAAACCTGGTCCATTAACATATTATTCTTATCTTATATCAATGGATCAGATATTGACTTAATCCAATTTGATGAAGCCAAAAATGGTCCCACCAATAGATGAAACACAAAATCTATTCACTCCCTCTGATTTGATGAGGTGGCTTGGATCGGGTTCAGCCCGCGGTGTGAGTAGAGCTACAGTGTCGATCTACAGCCCGAGGTGGCTCAGATCAAGTTCAGCCCACGGTCCGAGCTGAGAGCTGAAAAAGAAGAGAGGTCAGAGCGCCCGGGTATATTCTACCCAGGGGGACACTCCAATGCTTAAGTTAGTGAATGATCGTTTTGTGTAAAGGAATATGACAGAGTGAGAGTTTATGTGTGCATACCTTTTTGAGTGGCCCTGGGTCTTTTTATATCTTCCTGAGGTTCAATTGTTGTTTAGTAATATCCTTGAGTCTTGTATGGAGTTGTATCCTAAATCCTGGGGTGTACTGATCAGTTATTTTCTAGATTTATGCGGCGATTACAGGTCGCCTACTGGTCTGGGGTGGTCATCTTAGTGGACCATTTTTTCTATGTTGCAGTTATAGCACTTGTGTAGGCATTGTTTGCGGGGCTGTTTCGAGCGAGCCGGTGGCTAACAGAGGGTTGAGCTCTCCCTAGCTTGACCATGTACTTGATGTTGACTGCCATGTGTTACTCCAGCGAGCTGTTTTGTTGCGTCAAACGTTGTAGGCCAAGCTCGCTCTAGCTCAGTTTCGTACCTAACATTGACAATTGTATGTCGAGTCAGCGAATAGTCTTGCAAAGTGGGACGTTGTGTCACTGATAGCGTCCACGTGTCCATCATCAAGTGGGTTGACCAAAATGCCCCTCATCAATAGCACCCCACTCTCGATTTCGCTTATTTAGCAGACAAAGAGAGTAAGGTTTTTTTTGGGCGGTCTGGGTTTACCTCTATTTTGTCTACAGGTCCGACCAGTTTGCTTTGGCGCTTATAGTGAATCTCGATTTGGTAGGGTTTTGAATTTTGAACAGTGTGCGCCTCCATCGATTTTCGTAATTGGCGCAAAAATGCGCACCTTTTTTCAAATTTTTTGCTTGGCGCGCCGTTGAATTCAGCATGTGTGTTAGCTGTCAACAGCCTATCAGTCGTAGGCGCCACTGAAATGTGGGAGATGTGCTCCTATCTCTATCAAATCTGGGTAGTTAATTTTT